AAATAAAATCTAAAAAAAAAAAAAAAGACTTGGGTGTTGAGGCACCTGGGTGGCTCAGCCTGTTAAGCATCCGACTCTTGATTTCGGCTCAGGTCATGATCTTGGGGTCATGGGATTAAGCCCCACGACGGGCTCCATGCTGGGTGTGGAGCCTGCTTGAGATTCTCTCTCTCCTTGTCCCTCTGCCCTTCTCCCCCCGCAAAAAAGACTTGGGTGTTGATACTTTTTCTCTATACCCAGTCTGGAGTCTCATCTGGCAACATTTCCTATTTGGTCTCAGAGGAAAGAGGGGAAACTGGGAAAGTGTCCGAACTTCGAAAGCTGCCATGCTGATGAGTATTCCCGGAAGTAGTACAAAGACAAATATGTAATAAACCTGGTTGAAATTACTTAACTTCTCTGTCACTTCATTTTCCCATCTGTAACACAAAGAAAATGGTAATAACTATCCAATAGACTTATTATGAAGATCCAATGGTATAACAGATGTGAAAGCACTCAAACTCTCAAGTATGTAAAGAAATAAGGAAATAACAACAGCTTTATTGGGTTCTATTATCTATTAAAATATCATGGGCAACTATTTGATTTCACAATAAAAGAATTCCCACACTAGCGAATGTTTCTGACCTCTTCCCATGATTCAGTTTCTGGAAATAGCTATTTCATAATCGAGGCAGGAACTCTTGACAATATATAAGGCAGGACCCAAGTGGGCAGAGTAGACACCAGAAAGTCACTTGTTTTGCCACCATCTGACCGCGCTTGGCCACTTCAGCAGCATGAAAGCAATAGCTTGTGCCCTACTCTTGGCTCTGGCACTTATGACCATCTTCAGTAAGTATCTCCCTCACAACACCACCCCTATCCTGATACCAACAGCTCATGTCATCTTTTGCTCACAGCATTCTGGGATATACACAGCACGTAGATAATAAGGGAAGCTTTTTGAAATGCATTTTTTTTGTCTCTACCAATAAATCGTTAAATGATACCATCTTTGGGGCTGAGTTGACCTAAATGGTCAGCTAAGGCCAAATTCTTACCCACATAAACATTTTGTATAACTTCTTTGGTAAGTGTACATCCAGACTCTGCTTTGACTTGATATCTCCATTTATGGGGACCTCATTTCTTTATAAAACTGTCCCATCAACTGAGGGTAGCAGAACGGGAGGTGGGTAGGGGGATGGGATAACTGGGTGATGGGCATTAAGGAGGGCACGTGATATGACGAGCACTGGGTGTTATATGCAACTGATGAATCACTGAACACTACATCTTAAACGAATGATGTACTATATGTTGACTAATTGAGTTTAAATTTTTTTTAAAAATGTCCCATCCATTGTTTGGCAGCATGAGCTATTATTATTTTTGCACTGAGTTGAAATCTGCTTCCTAAGAATTTTCAACTGCTGGTCCAGCTTCTGCCATCTATTCCTACTACACAATAGCAGACATTCACTAGATATAAAACCACTTCTTTTTTTCAATATTTCCTAAACTCTGATTATGAGGTAGGAAAGAACAAAACTCATTATTATAGTAGCTTCTCCATGCTTTTGGCTATGCTCTCATCCCATCCAAAAAAGAAAAAAAAATTTATGTTGAGCTTCAACCTTTGCTATTATATTGATACACAGTTCTGAAGAGAGTCTTATATTTTTGATAGGCTGAGAGCTGAAACATAAATGAAAGACCTTTTTTTTTTTTTAACAAGCTTAGGTTCTTCCAGAGTTTAATTTGGTTTCTCTTGTCTTTGTTTTTCTCACAGATGTAGAATGTGCTCCACACCCTCAACAGGTCAGTACATCCATCTTGATATAAAAGTCCCACTTCTATGTAATTTTAAAGCTGGTATCAACAAGGAAGTATTTGCTACTGTACCTTAATTAAATTGCTACATGTTTGACGATTTTTTTAAATATCAAAAGTGATTTTATTTAAAAAAACTATTAAGAGACCTTTCTGAAATGGACATAGTAGAACAAAGTGGTTAGATACCTAGCATCCGAGTTATAAAGTCCTGGGTTTGAATTCCAGCTCCTTGATCGTATGGCCATGGGCAACAATACTTGCCTCATAAGCTTATTGTGAGGGTTAAAACCTCAGTGTTTGAAGAGAGTAGAGCACAGTACCTGGCACCTAGTAAAACTCAAGAAGGACAAGTCATGATTCTTATAATTGTTAAATGGGTCACATACATCTTTGTTCTTTATCTTAGGAAATGAAGATTTTAATTTAACCTTCCCTTTATGACTCATATTAAGCAGTAACTATTGTTGAGAAAATCTAGGTGTGGTAGTAAAAACTTTAAACCAGGAGTCCAAGCTCAATGGCTTTTTAGCTGTATGCCTGCAGGGCCTAGGCAGCTCCTTTCACTTCTTTTGAGTCTTTCGTTTTACATATTAAAGAGAATAAGAGGATGAAGAGTGTAAATTTTGGAGTCAGACAGTCCTGAGTCCAAGACATCCTTCATGATTTAGTAGCTGCTTGAGAATGAAAAAGGTCAATGAATATGAAGCCTTGGTAGTTTCTGGTCAAACTGCGCATATGACGTAAGTCCCAACACTGGGGTTTGAGCAGGCAAGAAGTGAAATCATGCTGACATATACTCATCAAGGGGCACCATCATTCCCATTCTCCACTAGACTCCACTAGCTTCTGAGCTCCTCTGCCATTTCATCATGCTTGCTAATCTTTGTGTTGCCAGCCGTCAGCTCAGCCCTAAAACTTAGAAGGTACATGGCATATGGCAACCAAAGGAATGAATGGGTTAATTAATGGAACATAGCTGAAGGGGAAGATGAATTTAACCTGAAGTTTGGGTATATTTCAGGCTACCCAAGTGGAGATATTAAACAATTAGTAAGACATCACATGTAGAACTCTGAGTCAGAAAAACTGGAAATGTAAAGTCTTCTGTATAGAGCTAGAGTTTGTGTAGTCCTGAACGTAAAGCCAAGGGATAAAACTATAGTATTTTTTCAGTATTTTCCATGTCATTAAGTGCTAAGCATTTTACACGTATCTTCTTGATTATATATTTTTTACTTTAACCTTACAATGTAGTTATTATCGCCCTTACTTTGCAGGTAAAGAAACCAAAGCTTCGAGAAGTAAAATGATGGTCCCAGGGTCATATAGTCAGGATTTGAAATCTGATGTATTTGACTTTTACTGTCCACACTCTTCAATTTGCTCATAAGTGAAAACCCCAGAAAACTCTGTCTTGGTGACTGCATACCTGCTCCTGCAGGGAGCTTCACATTGGCTTTGCTCCTAGCATTTACAACAGTGGTTGGTTCTCAACTACAATAGTAAAATACATGTGTCTGTCTATGCCTGATGAAGTGTATAACACGTGCTTTGTGACCAATAATTAATGGTAAAAGTTGCTAATGATGTGCTAGTTCTTAAAATTATAGGAAGTATCCCTATAATACATCTCATACTTGCATTCAGATAGAACTTTTTAAGGGAAAGAGAGAAATAGCAGGATGTGTAGAAAACTAACATCAGGGGAATGATTACATCTGTGAATCTGCCATGTGTGTTTTTAAATTTAAATTCTTAATTTTTAGGTAAATTATTTGGTTACAAGCTACCATAAAGAAGTTTATCACTCATGATTTTATATCTGATGCAAGAAAACTTTATACTTGATCTATTGCAAAGGGGTTGGATGAGAACAATTAAAATAAGAAACAAATGATCTGAGAGCCCTCTAAACTTGCTTGGGAAATCCTAAGTCCTGGGAATAAAAATTTGGTTGAAGTCTTTTAATATGTATTTCCAGGTTGATTGCAGTAAATATAAAAAGTCACCACCAGGAAAAGAGGGATTCTGTCATGCAATATATGCACCAATTTGTGGATCCGATGGCAAAACTTACCCAAATGATTGCTTCTTCTGTTTTGAAGTTCAGTAAGTATTGAAATATTTTTCTTTTCTATATTTAAGGTGTAATTAGGTGTTATGACAAATATACCTCAATTAGAAGAAGTGGTTTAGGGCACAATGAATATGTAAATATGATGAATACATAGAATTTGGGGTCCCTAGTGTCTTTGGATCTGTGGGTGTTCTGACAGTAAGAGTAAATCAAAGAACCCTAGAATCTGTAAGTTGGAAGGAAATTTGAGGGTCATCTAGTTCAGCATCCACCTACTAATCTATTGTTTGAATTCCCTCTACAAAAAACTCAAGTCATCCCACAGTGTGTGCTTCATTATTTCAAGGGACAAGGAACATCTCTCCTCCTAGGCATGCCAGGCCAGTCGTCTGTCAGAATGAACCATATCTATTGTTCAGTTTTAATAATTAAGTTTAGATGTGTTAGAGCCCCCTAATTATTGGCACAAAAGGGGATAATATCTAAAAACCCTAAAGAAATTTTTCTGTTTCAGAGTATGATTTATGTATTGAAGCTCTAATAAAAATTAAATCTGAAAATCAAATAGCCAAAAATAGCTTAAAGTTACAAAGTAATCATCTGAAAGATATATTAGTACCAGCTCAAAAAATATAAGATGGTGCATGATATACCAGAATGTATAGAAACATACAGATCCTTTTAAGTATTTTCAATACTTACATGAATGAAAACAAACACCTAATATAGATGGCATATCGTTCTGGTTTGTTTTTTTATCAGAAAAAAATTACTTTTTTTGAGAAGATTTTATTTATTTGAGAGAGAGAGAGAGCGGGAGCAGGAGGTGGGGGCACAGAGGGAAAGGGACAAGCAGACTCCCCACTGAGCATGGAGCCAGACACGGGGCTCCATCCCAGGACCCTGAGATCATGACCTGACCAGAAGGCAGATGCTTAACAGACTGAGTGATCCAGGCGCCCCCAGTCACTCCTTCCTTTTAAAAACATCAATGAGTGGATGGGCGCCTGGGGGGCTCAGTTGGTTAAGCGACTGCCTTCGGCTCAGGTCATGATCCTGGAGTCCCTGGATCGAGTCCCGCATCGGGCTCCCTGCTCGGCAGGGAGCCTGCTTCTCCCTCTGACCCTCCCCCCTCTCATGTGCTCTCTGTCTCTCTCATTCTCTCTGTCTTAGATAAATAAATAAAATCTTTAAAAAAAAAAAAAAACATCAATGAGTGGATGGACTTGGGGATTCATTAGTGAATGCTAAATTAGTTCTGGATGCTAATAAAATGCCTATGGCCTCAGCAATTTTCATTTGTTGCTATTTTCTCTCCACAGAAAAACTCACAACAAACTTAAATTTGTACATTTTGGAAAGTGTTGAATCTATCTTGTGATTCCAGTTCACATGAAACACACTTCTTCTCCCATATAACCTACGCCGCATTGCCTAATCTTGTCACCATTATGTCTGGATTTCCTTGTAGAATAAAGTAGACCTACATGAAATAAACATGTCTGACTCTTTTTATTTAGGAGTTGAATCCTCCAGATGTTTCACTTTTGGGTGATGTCTAATGGACCACCTTAGGGCCACATCCTGGGAGAAAAGGGTCAACAAAGACCAGTAGCTGGACCCAGAATATCAAAGGACCTGAATCTGATGCCTTTTTCTTTTCTTTTTTTAATTTTTTTAAAAGATTTTATTTATTTATTTGACAGAGAGATAGGAAGAGCAGGAACACAAGCAGGGGGAGTGGAGAGGGAGAAGCAGGCTTCCCGCTGAGCAGGGAGCCCAATGCGGGGCTCAGTCCCAGGACCTGGGATCATGACCTGAGCCGAAGGCAGACGCTTAACGACTGAGCCACCCAGGTGCTCCTCTGATGCCTTCTTCTTGCCCAGGCTAGGAAAACACCCCCTGTGCATAACTTAGTTCTTGTGTATTCCTGAAACATGAACAGAAAAAAACGGGAGCCTCCAAGTACAAGAATCAGGAAATACTGTTTTGCTAGATGTTTCATACATTTAAGACATGAAAGCTGCCCTAGACGGCTCTTTATTTTCTACCAGAATACGTGTTTGTAAAACGTGGCTGGTCAAACGTGCCCAGTAAAGCTGTGTAAATTCCCATGAATTAGTTGACATCTTTCATGAGTTTTTTCCCCCCTAAAGTATTTTTTTAATCTAAATTCAATTAGCCAACATATAGTACATCATTAGTTTTTGATGTAGTGTTCATTGATTCATTAGTCGCGTATAACACCCAGTGCTCATCTCATCACGTGCCCTCCTTAATGCCCATCACCCGGTTACCCCATCTCCGCACCCACCTCCCTTTCTGCAACCCTCAGTTTGTTCCCCAGTCAAGAGTCTCTCATGATTTATCTCCCTCTCTGATTTCTTCTCATTCAGTTTTCCCTCCCTTCCCCTATGATCTTCTGCGTTATTTCTTATATTCCACATATGAGTAAAACCATATGATAATTGTCTTTCTCTGATTGACTTATCCCCCTAAAGTTTGATCTCAGATCTAGGACCTGAAACTTATCTGATCTCACTATTCTTACATTATATGTTTCAAAAAACATATTATTATATGTTCCAAGATCATATTGTCTGTTCCAAAGAACAGAGAGGATGCCTTGCACATCTTTTTAATCCATTTGTGCACCTCTGCAATTAACATATATCTTTTAATGCCTACTTTGTGTCAATATCTGTGATAGGCTTTGGAGCATACAATGGTAAATAGAATAGACTTGATCTTGCCCTCTTGGAGCTTATATTCTATGGAAGAATTTGCCAGGCTTAGTATAGCATCTTGCACAGAACTGATATTATGCAAATGTTTATTAACATTGAATCAAAATTAAGCAACATTTCAATTGGATTATAGCAGCACATTATGCATGCATTTAATATGTGAAAATCTAACTATATATTCTCTGCAAAGAGGGAGAAAGAGAAAATAGAGTCAAGTCCTTTTGAGCTGTGTTTTTGTCCACAAATCCATTAGAGATTCAGACACCAAGACTGACCACAAAACGACCTATGCTAATTTCCAAAGAATTCAAGTAGAGTGGTGTTCTCTGGGGTGGTTTACTTTCTTTTGTTTTCTCTTTCACTTTTTGTTGTTGCTGTTGTTTCCTGAATGATGCGAGACCATCACTAAGACTACTTAAAAGCACTCTTCAAAGAAACTTTTTTTTTTAAGATTTTATTTATTTATTTGACAGAGAGACACAGCAAAAGAGGGAACACAAGCAGGGGGAGTGGGAGAGGGAGAAGAAGACTTGCTGCGGAGCAGGGAGCCCAATGCAGGGCTTGATCCCAGGACCCTGGGATCATGACCTGAGCCGAAGGCAGATGCTTAACGACTGAGCCACCCAGGTGCCCCAAAGAAACTTTTTAAATAAATGGAAAATACTGACTTAGACTTCATTTGTCTTTTCACCAAATATTAAATATCCACTCTTTGCTAGATGCTAGAAATACATCAATGAGCACACAAATATAACAATTTATCCTTCGTTCATGAAGCTTTAAGGTTACATAGGAAGAATGATATTAACAAAATATCAATCAAATATATATATAAATTAGACTAACTAGGGCAATCAGGAAAGACCTCCCGAGGCCCTCCTGAGTTGATTTATAAGCAAAAACCAAATGATGGGTAGAAGTCAGGCAAAGGAAAATGGAGGAAGCAGTGGAGATGGGTGGAAGGAGGAGGCAGTAGCCACGGGATTGAGAGGCGAGAAGCATCATTCCAAGCAAAGAGAGCAGCAGGAGACTGCAACATAACAAACCAGCACAGACGGTTATTGGCCAGTTCGTGTTTTTCAGCCACTCTTCCTCCCAAGGCTCCCTACTATCCATTGCCCACAATCCATTTCCAACTGTTTCCAGAGTGATAATTCTCAAACATAGATCTTATCTTGTCATCTCCCTGCTAAAATCACTTCAGTGAGTCTCACTGCCTGTAAGTCCATCAGTGCTGGCCACCTCTCTCTCCAGCCTCATCTCTCTCCATTCTACATTATAAATGGACTGGTCACCACTCTCAGAACCCTCCAGGCACTTTGCAGTTGTGCACATGCTGGTCCCTCTTCCTCCAATTTTCTTTCCCACTTCTCCATCTCACCAATTTCCGCTCATTAAAAAGATTCATCCCTAATGCTCTCTTCTCTAAAAAGCTCCTATGTATTCTCTAATGAGCGTCTCCTATGTATTCATTCATTCATGTAATCCTCCCAGATTATCAAGCATCATAGTATATTCTCATTAATTTGTTAGCATCTGTTTCTTTTGCTATACTGTGAGATCATAGCTGGCATGCTGCAGATATTTGATGAATGCATAATAAACTAACTGAATTAAATTAAGATGAATTGAATTTGACTTCTATCAACAAGTAAGCAAGGAAAATGGTGTCTTATCCCAGATAACCCTGAAGTCAGATGTCACCTCCTGATCCAACTGTGGCACAAGACTATATGACATCTGTTTGCATTCTACACCAACCCAAACTCTGGAATGCATCTTCAAGTTCCCATAAAAAGAATCCACAGATATACAAATAAGAGAGAGCAATGGCTGCTTTTCCAGAGATCGTGGGGGAGTGACTTAAATGGTAGTCACCTTGCTCACCTACAGCCTAAAACTCCCCATTGCATTCCTATCCTCTACAGTCATCTCTTGCAACACCACCTTGCAAATCCTTGTCATTTGTAACATGAAAAGGAAATTGACATAAAATTTTAAAGATGCACAAATAAAATAAAAGAAAAACAATTAAATCCATTTGCTAAAATCTGTTGCTAGAACTGAAGCCTACTCACATTCTAAGGAATCTCATTCTGTTTCATTTTTAATTAGTTCTTCCTCATAGTTCAGCAAAGCAGGAGTCACTACTCCAGCCAATAAACCAGTCCTTCTGGAACAGGTAACTCCTTTCTCTCTGGGAGAACAAAGGGAAGCTGAAGCACTGACTTTGGAATTTTAATTGACAGTGATAGTACAGATCAAGGAAGTGGAAGACAGAGCTACAAAAACATTCCTTAGCAAAACCTATCTGCAGGGACACATCCTGAAAACTTTTCCGAATTTCTTAAGAAAAGGAACTCTGAACTGAAGTCAATTGAAGTTAAGCCTTTTATGAGTGCCTGCTGAAACGCTGCTGGAAAAGAACTACTGAGGTTGTGAAAGATGCCTCTGGGGAGCTCAGGAAACTACCCAATCGTTCCACTTGCCAGACTCCTGAGCACTGACTTCCTGGGATGTGAGTCATTTAGTGCTCAAAAATAGGCTCTGTGGCTAAAACAATGAAGGCCGGGAGCAGCCCAGCCCTGTATGACTGACTCATCAAAGAGTAAGTCTGGCTTCTGGGTTTCATTCTTCTTCTGCCCCATTGTTCCTGAATTTCATTCCATAAGCCCAAGACCCCTGTTCTGACCAAGGCAGCTTCCCCAGCCTGAGGCCCTGTCTGTAACCTGTCCAGCAGCCCAGCCCTCTGGTCTTGCACTTCTAGCTTGTGCTCTTTGCTGCTCTTCTCTTCTCCACTCTACCTGGAGCCTAGTGGCAGGCACCCCAAAATATTGGCAGACATCTGTTGTGCCAGTCGCATCCCTGGTTGTCCTGTCTCTGTTTGGGCTGCCTATCAGGGCTCCAGTTCTTTCTTGTTTATCTATGGGGCCCATGGATTGCCTGAACCGCCATCTGTTTGCTGCCACACCCTTTAGATATTGCCGTGTCCTCCATGTCAGGTGAAATTATTTGTGAAGCCTCTGTAATATAATAGTTAAGATGGTGATCGTTTGGCAATATATACGATTATCGAATCTTTATGTTTAATATCTAAAACTAATATAATGTTATATGTCAATTATATCTCAATTTTTTTAAATTTCAAAAAGAGAAAGAAAAAAACCTTAAGGAAATTAAAAAAAAAAAAAAAAAGGATATGGGGCTTTGGGAATAGAGAGCCCTGGGATTAAATCTAGATTTGCAACTTCTGAGTAACACTGAGTTACTGGTTGAACCTGAGTTTCAGTTCCTGCATTTTAAAGTGGGGACAACAACAGTTCCTTATGGACTGGTGTGAATCAACCTGTAATACAATACATAATACTGTGCTTGGCACATAATTAGCAAACAGTGAATGAATGATTTCGAAAACAGTAACAACAAAAATCTGTGGTCCATCCTAACTTTGTCCTGTAAGCGCAACGGGTAGGTTCTGGCTTTTCATTGTCTTTTCCCCAGTTCCACCCTAGCACAAGGCCACCCCTGCCTGACCCCTGCCTGACCGGCTCCTGAGAGAACACTATGGACCTCCTGTTAGAGCAGACCATCACTGTTACAGCCACAGAAGGCAGCAGAGTGGTTTGACTGCAATGAAAATATACTCCCACTGGTGACTTTGGGAAGTTTTTTAAGTTATTCTCATTTTTGGTTTAAAAAAAAAAAAGAAAGGAGGAAAGAAAAAGAAAAA